CAAATAAAAATACCATAATCCTATTGATGACAAACAAAAGTCATAGAAAGCTATTTAACTTTTCATTATCAAAAGAAGAAAGTTATTTAACTTTTCAAAAATCCTCTACTTTCTTCGTAGAAAATATCTTAGTTTCACCATAAAGAACAATGTTTTATTTCAAGGTAGGTTTTAGGTAACTCGCTGGTTTCAAACTGAAAAGCCGTCAGAGAAAAAAAGCGCTCTAATGGATATATCAGGCTATTCGTTTCTTACTATCCTAAGAAGAAGAAAAGAGAAAAGTGAGATATCTGTACTAAATATAATGGCATACATATAGTTGACGAACATAAGGAGGCTTTACTGAAAGCGGAAAACAACAAAAAGTTACACTAGAATAATTGTTCTCTTTCATAGTCTTTAATATCATGTTTATACAATTATCATGTGAGGAAATATATTGAAGCATTATCAATTTTCAGATAATATGTAATGAGATTGTGTGGTGATCACCACAACATCGATGGTGTAAAAATTTCTCAAAAAGTTATATGTTAATGATTTTTAGCACTAGATTATTCTGCACTAAATGCTATTCTGTATTTAAAGGATTTTGTATAGAAACTCTAGTTTTTTTCATCATTTTATTTTAATACCACATGCACTAAAAAAATTAACATGCATACAAACTAGTTGATAAAAAGAATATTGAAATTGTTCCGGTTTGCTTACAAATTTAATATGATCGAGCGAACCATAACATGGTGGGATATATTTGATTTGTTTAATGAATTAAAATTTGGGAAATTGTTAATTGTACTATTGTATAAAACATATTGTGATATATTCAGGGAACTGTATTGCTGCATACAAAGGAATGGAGACGGTGAGCTACAACTTATATGACCGTAATTTCTGTTTTTATTTTCCCTAGTTCCATGGTTGGAGCTGCGGTTGTGGATGTGAGAAAGGAATGAAATTTAATTAAAGGAGCCTGCCTTGAAAAAGTTTTTTAGATTGTTACGGATGTTCGATCAGGAACGTTGCTATATAGTAGTTAGTGCTGTTGGGATTTTAAGCTTGTGTAGCTTAAAGAGGGTGAATGAGAAATGGAGGAAAAATGAAATATTTGAGTTTCCCTCCTTGGCAAAGGTACATTGTCCCATATTGGAGGAAGAAAAGGCTTTTGATGGGTATATATATAATTGCTCTTCTTCTAGCTCTTAAAGAGTTAAGAAGAAGGCAAGCCTCGCGCCGTCGTCGTCTCGGCTTCGGCTTCGATTGATTGATTAATCTTTTTGGACAAAATTCCTTTCAATTATTTAATTAATTAATTAAATAATTAACGAAAAATTCAATCCGGAATAACCCATGACCCGCGACCCGGTCCGGTCAGGCCCGTTTTCTTTCCCGGATTATTTTAAATTTTCTCGCAATATTTCAAACATCCTGTTCCAGCAGCCATGGCTGTTTCTGAAAGGTTGCAAACCTTTTCAGAAACAATGCCAGCAACTCTATAAATATACTTTGAATCCCAGAATCTTTCCTTACGAAATTTTCTGATCTTCTTCTTCTTCTTCTTCTGCAAATTCCAGTGAGTTTTACAGCCTTCGAGTGGCTCGCTGTTCACCGGCGTTTTGGTACCAACACTCCGGTGAGTTAAATCGTTCTATCCTGGGAGGATATATTCCAGCACCTCGGGTACTTGAGGGGAGTAATTTCCTTAAGTACACACTGTGTATTCAGTGGACTCGATTTATTCCTACACTGTTTTTCCAGAATTTATTTCTTTAAACAAGTGTTACTAACTTTCTGTTTTGTTTATATATTTCAGAAAGTTTAATGATTTAATTGTTTATTACAGCAATACAGATTTATAACAAGTGCTTTGCCCTCTGAAATGTCTGGTGAGGCATCATTGACTTAGTTAGGATGCTAGACACCTAAAAGCACTGGGTTGATGGGAGTTTAAGGAACTAAATGGACATGTTGACTCTCACTTGTTAACAGAAGGATTTTACACGTTGGTAGGGGTAGCATGTGAATAGACAATACAAACATGTATATTTATGGGGGATACGCCATAACTAGCAGAAGATTCCTATATAAGGAGTCTGTCTCGATTATTAATCACTGATTCAAGACAAGTTCTATCTCTTCATTTCTCTTGTTTCACAAAGGAAAAAGAAATCTTTATCTCAAAGTCATATCAGGGATATGTGGAAAAATAAGTTTTCTCAAACCGATTATGTGCCCTTTCTAGCTGGCTAGCATCATATTTTCGGGTGAGAGATTGGAGAATAATTTAAGTGGAAAGAAATATTCAATTTTTTTTGAAGATGACATGTTGCAACTTCCTTTTCCAAATTGTGAAGATACTGAATTTTATTGCATGCCAAGGAGTCTCTTCCCATTTGTCTTATCTATATGATTGTCTTTGGCTTTTGAGACCTAGCAGTTTGATTTGAAGCCAGATTCTATTTGTTATATTTCTGCTTTGAATAACACTTAAAATTTTGTATTTTAGACAGGATGCCTGTCATTCTCGGAAACAAGGATGCGGCTGATATGTGGTTAAGTGGTTCTTCGTCATCCAACATTGACATGCTATTGAAACCATATGAAGAGTCAGATTTGGTGATATTTCTAAACAATCAATCTTTAGGAAGAAAAGAGTGTTGTGAACTCGACTTATCAAAAAAAAAAAGTGTTGTGAACTCGACATCTTCTAAAACTCTGTCTTCATTGCAGGCTTGGTACTCTGTGACACCTGCAATGGGTAAGACTTCTTTTGATGGACCGGAGTGCATCAAAGAGGTATTGATTGCTTTGTTGTTTTCCATACATTTCATGTTATGAGCCAACCTAGATCAGCTAAGCGCTTATGATAAACCTAACTTATCAAACCCTATATGTATGCAAGAGAACATAGTGCCTGCATGCCCCCTAGGCCTTTGGTAAAATATCAAGGGTAGTACAACTTGGGATTTATGGTAGGCGTATGCCACGAGTCCGAATCCTATCTGGTGAACCAAGTTTAGTCGTTAAGTGATAAAGATTAAAAGCGGTTACCTATTGTTCACCAAGTTTTGAAGATGGGAGATAACAGATTTCTCAGTTATATAAAACAAAAAAAGGGAACATAGTGCTTGAGCTTGAATAAATCTACGATGCTCATCACAGATGTGTATTTCAAATTGTCAACTCACCAGCATCTTCAAACCCATCTGTGCTTAAGTTTCCTTTGTATAATAACCAGCCGCTAAGTCTCAAATAACTTTCTTTTTCTTTTTAAGCTTTTCTTCTCCTTCTCAATCATATGGTTTCACAGCANATATATATATATATATATATTCAGTGTATTTTTTTGGTGATAATATTCTTACAAGAGACCACTTCTAATGGACATTGATGGCAGTTAACTGTTCTAAAGCAAAGATGATAAGTCATAGAATCTATAACGAGCATCTGACTTTCCATATCTAGTTCATTTGTGTAAAGCACAGATGATAGTTGGTCATATGATAGGAGCATGCTTCTTTTCCAGATGGTTGATCACTTTACATCCATGTCCGTACTCTGTCCTTGAGACACTAATTATTCCCGCTCACCCCCTTTATACCCTATTAGATGCTAAGTCTGAATAATATCTGAGTCATTCCACGCTCTTTCCTTTTATATGGTTCATGAACTGTAGGGGATACGTAGGTGATGATTAATTAATAACTGCCTATTGTTTACACTTAAACCTGCAGTTGCAACTCAAGGCTACTGAGACTAGATCAATATCACAATTTTTCTCAAAGAAAGGAGAAAAAGACCTAAAGGAGCAGAAGCCTCGTATCAAAGCAAAGGAAGAGTCCTTGAATACTGATCAGACAGAGAGCTTGAAGCAGGAACCTGAATCAGACCATGTAGGCTATCAGCGTTCCCCAGACAAACCGGAGGTTTTTGCTTCTGCTGCGACCACAGACATAAAAGTTGAGCAAGACTTTGATGAGTCAGGTGGTAAACAGTCATTGACTGGTCAAACCGGAAATCCACCTGGAAAAGTAGGTAGTGTTGCCAGTGATAAGGCGAAAAGCTTGAAAGAGGAGTCTGAGGATATTAAACCAAATGTTTCTGTTCTGCCCCAGGAGGGACGTGGGGATTCTGGAACCAAGAGAGACTATGAGGAGCTCTCAGGTAATGCAAGGCCTCTTGCTAAGGGGGCTAACAAGCACGTAAGCCCATCACAAAAAAAAGCTAAAGGGGCTGGTGACAAACAGCCTACTCTGTTTTCTTTCTTTGGGAAAGGCTAGTCGCATGACATACAACACTTAGGAATGTACTGTATATAGTGAAGTTGGTATTTTCTGTTGCTAAAAAAACAAATGTTGGTAGCTTAGGATTTTGTTTGATGATCAGCACACATCCTTAGCTTCTAGGCTTGTTTTGCAGATTTATGTTGGTATAATTTTCTTACTCGGACTCGGCTTCAGACAGTTGTGAAGTGATGGAAATGGTTGTTTAGTGTATTTTGGCCAATACTGTTGTTCCAACGGGACTTGAATTTTGATTTTGAAAATTTGTGCGGTCGCCTCCTTTTATGCTAACCTCTCACAGGCTAGGCTCAATTTATCTGCCCTGTGGCTTGCTGATACTCGTGGTAAACCTCCTACGTACAGTTGATGTTTCAAAAGTTTTATACAACTATTTACTGTTTTTCCGCTTCTAATGTTCCGGCAGTATATGCAGAATACTGTCGACCAAATGGATCGCATACACAAGCCTATTCACTGCTCTTCGTTGTATAGGTTTCAAGTACCGTTGATCTTTGAAGCCGTGGAAAAACAATAGTACTCTGTACCAGTCACTAATAATATAGGACAAAAGTTGTTATTTTCCAATAATCCAAAAATGAATAAATCCTTTAGAAATGTTGCAAGCAATGGGGAAACTTTGACCGATGTTTCAGGACTCACAAATTAGTCATTTCACCAGTTGGAAACTTCAGGCTTTAAGGAATATGCAATGTGATAAGGTCGTGGAAGAAGCTTAAGAAAATATACTCAAAACAAGAGCTTGCTTACACAAAATTGGAAGTAACCAAATTATGAACAGTCGATACATTATTTGGAGGATTCCTATGTCTACCAGAAGGGAAGTATTCAAGTCTAGTGGGTAACATCTTAAGTGGGATATATATCATCATGCTTAATGAAAGCATCAAACACGACAGCAGTGCATCACTCGGCGCTCTAGATGCAGCATGCACTAAGCTCTCCTGAAAGAAGAAATGAAGGTGCAAGGGCCAACTTCTTGATTCCTTGTTTGTCCTTGCTAGGCCTTCCACGTGTCATTGCCACATACCCCAATGTTGCACGGTAACAAGAAACGATCATCAACCTGTCGAGAACATAGGATAGTGAAAGTTTGTGATGACAGCAAGCTTAACGAGGATCATTAAGAGCTGTTAAAGAAACTCATTCTCAGGGGAAACTGAATGAACTATAATATTGCATGATTGCTGAATAGAACAGAGGGTATAAATCAAAAAATGGCATTCTTGGAATTGGACAGCACATTGCACCAGCAGAACAAGTCACTTTAGTGCTTTAAACATGTGGCAGGACGACGATGCATGAATGGATATGATACTGCTGAGTGTTCAAAACTAGGCTACCATATGCTAGTGATGTGGAGGATTTTTAAGCCCATGAACATGTGAATACTATAGACGCCTGTAGATCAACATCAGAGTCCAAGTGATTTCATAAAATGAGGCAAAGAGGGCGGAATTTCTCTTACACCTTCTAAGTTTCACTCACTTTTGTAAATTGATAATCAATATCCTGCTTTGGAATCTCAGTTGAAAGCTAAAAAGAAATACTGTCACGAACAAATTAGAATAGGTTTTATGTAAAGTAGAAGTTTATTGTTAGTTGAAAGTTCATCTACAGAATGGCAGAGTTTTCAAGTACCTTTTTCATTCAACAAACACAGAGGGGTTCAGTTGATTTTGCCCATAGGATCAGTAGTGAGATTCATATTTACTGGAGACCTTTGCTGCTGTCAAAAGCTTCAAAATTGGCTCGATCATTCATATGATTATTGAATTTACGTTAATCTATTTTAACCTAAAATTTATATAAATCCATATCCACATATGCTTTCTAGCTCAAGGGTAAGCTTTGTACATAATCATGAGGACTTGGCTAAGATCCAGCGAGGGCTAAATCCTTCTTGTCTTATATCCTAGACCTAGAAATCCTGACACTACAGATATTGGTCTTCCAAAAATTTACACAACATAAATTAAAACAGGAGTTTAAGAATGTAATAAGACAGAATTCATTATCGCCATTACAGCAGAAAATGGACGGCAGAGAGCACCTCTAAATTTTCAACGCCATAAGCCATTCAAATATATGTTCAGATAAATAACATTTGATCGTACAAATATAACCATCGAACTCTCAAATCAAATACACGTAATTAAAGACACACAAAAAAGAAGATCAACCAAAACTTTATCAGAAAAATAGTCCTTCATCCATACGAATTTAAAAAATGGGTAATCTTGAGCTATAATAAATCACCTCAGTACGCTCCCCTGCTGCTATTAAGAATGGATCCAAGCGTACCCAACACTGCAAAAGCCAAAAGCGGACTAACATCCAAAGTATAAAAAATTGGGGGAATAATATTCCTGAAGAGATTCAAATAAGGATCGCAAAGGTCCCTAATAGCAGATAACGGCTGCCTGTCCCACGGTATATTGGGAAACCAGCTGAGCAAAACCCTAACCATCAAAACCCCACTGTATATATCAAGCCATTTCGCCATCCCAGCCGCCACCACTGTGAACGGAGTGTTCAGTGCCCCAGTGGGCTGGTCTTTAAGGGCCGCAAAGAACATAGGCCCAGCAGAGCATACAATCGATTTCCCGAGCCCATGAAAACCCAAGTTGAAAACTTTGTGCAAAAACAATTTTGAGGCGGTTAAGGTGATTGCTATGAGGGTTGTAATTGTACGGGTAGAGCCAGTGATTAAAGGGTCAGCTGGATTTGATTTTGTGGGTAATGGGGTTTGGAGAACAGTTGAAGATGAAGCGGAAATTGTGAATTTCTTGGGTTTAGGAGTACGGAGAGAAGAAGCTGCAAGCGAAACGAATTTGGCTTTGGAGAAATTGGAAGATGAAGGAAAAGAGAGGGTAGAGATGTTGTGATTAGGAGAGAGAAGATTATGGTTACGGAGGATTAGGGTTTGAGAAGCCATGAGAGAAGAAGAAGCCATTGGTTCTTCCGAAGATTTTCAAAGCTCACTCTCAGGGGTTTTCAACCTTTTCCTCTGACGGGAAAAAAGCTTCTTTATCTTTATGTTTTTTCAAAGAAAATGCACAAAACATTTTGTACTCTCCTTTAATTTTAATGGAGCTGCAGTGAGAATTGGATGAATTTTGCGTGTTAAAATATTTTTTAAAAAGTTTCAAATTTATTCCTCTTATTTTGGTTATGATTTAAAATAAATTTTTATTATATTTTAGGCTGACAAATGGAAGGTAAAATTAAGATAGTTTTATGTGTATTTTTGACATTCTTTTCCTTTTTAAAATAATCCTATTTATTTGTTTAACATTTCTACTCTATTTTGCCAAACAATGTGGTTTGTACTGTTGGATTCCTATATTTTTATTCTCTTTTCTTGAAGTCTAACGATATAACCTCCTAGTGATTAATAATAACCTTTTATATTCATTTGAATGACTTAAAAAGGAGTTTGGTTTTTATTTGGATTGAGGAGAAATAGTTTTAGAAAAGTAATTATGAGTATTCAGGTTTGAGTTTAAGAAATTGGTTTATTTTTGTCCGGGGAGTTTGTGGGTATGTCTTTTTGAAAACAAGCATTATGTGGTGAATAATTAGGGGTGAGCATAGTTTGGGCAAACCCGAAATTCGAATTGTTTGGATTTTTAGTTTGGATTTTCTGATTATGGATTGAATTTCGGATCAAATTTTAAATTTTTTGAATTTCGGATTGGATAGTGAATTTAGTACTTCAGATTTTTGGATATCCGAAAATCTAAAATTTTAATATTTTATATTATGCCAATAGTAATAAGTCCAATATCCTAACCATTAGACATAAATTCATACATTCAATATTAATTACTAAGTTAATATCAGAATACTTTCTATTCGGACATGAATTTACTATTCCTACTTTTTATCGGTCTTACTAATGTCTTTGTTGTATTTCCTTGATGATGATTTCATTACTTGAATACTTTACTTGGAAGATTGTGGTGAAAATGAGAAACTTTTTAGGCAATTTAACATGAACACTTCATTTGGATGTTCATTATCGTAGAAAGAAGAAACATCTCAACGTATAAGCTCACAATCGAAAATTCAAAATATCCAAATCGATTAATCAGAATTCAAATTTAAAAAATCCGATCCAATCCGAGTTTTTTTGGATTGAATTTAGATTGTCATTTCTTTAATTCGAAAATCCAAACTGAAATTTTTATATCTAATCTAAATTGCCCGAACGCCCACCCCTATGAATAACAAAAGTAAAATAGACTAAACATATTAGTAAAAATTTTAAAAATAAAAACAATATTTAAACAAAAAAGGTGAACATATTATAATTAGGGGTGTTCATGGTTCGGTTTGGGTCGGTTTTTCTATAAAAAGAAACCAAACCAAGTAAGTGAATTTTTCAAATATTGCACCCAAACCAAACCAATTGAGTCAGTTTTTTATCGATTCGGTTTATGTCGGTTTTTGTCGGTTTTTCGGTTTTTTCGGTTATTTATCGGTTTGTTTCTTAATATGAGACATACACTACCAAACGCATATTTCGGCGACTACATTTTTAACGTAACACTATTAAATCAATTGCTCTTTGAGAAATCTATCATTTTCAAGATATATTGATGATAATTGAATCAAATAGTGATGAAGAATTTAAGTACTCAATTAAAAATTGATTATTTTTAACATGAAATAAATTCTTGTATNTTTCGGTTATTTTTTGATTAAAACCAAAACCAAACCAAATTTGATCAGTTTTTAAAATTCAAAATCAAAACCAAACCAAACCTAAAAAATATAAGTTTTTTTGATCGGTTTAGTTCAGTTTTCGGGTTGGTTCAGTTTTTCGGGTTCTTATGAACACCCCTAATTATAATATAAATGTCACACCCCAAAATTAAAGGAGTGAGACGCACCCCACATTTTAAACTTACCATCGAGCAAACCATCTAATCATAATGATTCGAGATATAATGCTTTTCATATATAAATATTCCACAATCTAGTAATCATCATAAAATATTAAATAATTAAAAAAGTAATTCATAATGAACTAAAATAATTATTTATAATGTCATGTGAGACTTTAATAGAATAACAAAAGGATTTATGGTCACTCAATGCTTATACCTTCAAGACCCTTGACTAGGAGTCAAGGCAAGAACCTTCAAGCTATTAGGATATATTTCATAAAGTGGGAAAATTTAAATGATATTTGGAGAATCCTAATATAGTCTACAATTGTATTCAAATGATATTCAAGGATGAGGATCGAAGCTCATGTGAAGAGAACCAATTGCAAGTGACTAACCCAATCACCTAAGAGTCTTAGTAATTATGTAGATCTTAGTATAAATTGGGAATACTAGGACTTCTTTTATTTTTTTTGAAGATAATATTAAATATTGCTATGTTTGTGAGCTTGAAGGTAGATTTGTGGTTGCTTTGAAGATCCCCATATAACTTGACCTAGAGTCTTCGCTATTCACTGCGAACTCGAAAATTGGAGGTTTTTAGTAGATTTAGAGGTTGTTGTTTGTGTTTTGCAATTAAGATTTAAGTGCTAAATTGATTCTAATTTCTTAGTTACTGCTGAAATTTAAAAATGGAGAAAGAACTTTGAACCCACTATCGTTGATGCTTTCAAGGTCAAATTTGATCTGTAATTTCAATTTATTTGGCAACTTGATGCGTAAAACTGATTTGCTTTTGTTATTGATTTGGAGTAACTTGTTATTTGTTAACTGAAAACTTGAAAAGAGGAAGAAGAATTCCATTGATGAGAGAGCTTGGTTAAAAAAAGAAGAAGGTGTCATTAGAACATTTTATTTATATAATTGATTTTGGGTTTACATGGTATCAGAAAATTATCTATCCGGATAACCCCAAATTTCACTCTCTTCTCTTTCTTCTTTACTCTTGAACCTTCACTGAAATCCCCAAAGTCATCCATGTCAGTAGATGAACCAGCTTTGTCATGCATGATGGATATCCCTCCTAAACCACCAGATTCATAGACCCTATTGCAAATTCCATAACAAATGAAAAGTTCTCTTTTAGAGACAAGTTACTTGCTAGTAACCCGATGCACTTCAATCCCTCCGCACATGTGCTTGCTATGTCTTCAGAGAAAGATTACGTGGAAATAATGCTTCCGGACTCTTCTTCACCAACCTATAGATCTGACGATAGCACCATTCAACTATCTTCCGAAGAAATGATGCCCATATACAATTTATGAAAATTCTTGATCATTATTAAATTAATGGGTAAGCGCATTTTACATCAATATCTTAAAAAAAAAATCCAGGAACCATGGAAGGAAGCCCACCGAACAATTTCCACTAATTGATCTAGGTGAAGATTATTATATTGTTAAATTTTCTAAGGAAGAGAATATGGTTAGAGCTCTTCACCAAGGTCCATGATTTATTAATGGACATTTTTTATCAGTAATGAAGTGGATCCCGAATTTTGTTGCTTCCAAAGTGAAACAAACTACTTCTGCAATTTGTGTACGACTTCCTCAATTTCCAACTGAGTATCCTAAAAATGATTGGCAACAAATTGGGTCGTCTCTTAAAAATTGATGCTTGTATGTCAGCAACTCTTAGAGGGAGATATGCTAGATTATGTATTGAGGTATCATTAGAACATCCAGTTAAAACCTTTATTAATATTGGTACTCATAAGCAACACATCCTCTACGAAGGAGATAATTTTCTATGCAAGGCTTGTGGACGGTTGGGTCATATTCAACAATTATGTATGTTTGGACATCTCATTCCCACCGAAGAAGTCCAAAATCCTCCAATCAAAATAAATATCCAGACAACATCAGAAGAAGAGAGTGACAAACAGTTTCTTTTCCAAGGAGGACAAGGTCATTGTAAAAGGATTTGCCAATGAAAAATAATGCGGAGAATACTACTCATTCAGGTATCAATGTAAATTTTTTGATGCTACCACAGGTAAGTACCTCAATACCCAAAAATTAATTTACAAAGAAAAAACTAGTTTAATTACTACTGACCCAAATGTTAGTCAAGCTGTCAAAACGATAAAAGAAGATAATATTTCTGCCAATCCTAATTTACTAGTTAGCAATCAATTTGCTTCTCTTAATGATCCTTGCCTAGATCCCAATAATTTCTCTCCTACTACTGATAAAAATTACATGCAATCCAAATTGTCCGATTCAAACGAGGCAAGCAAACAAAGATACCAAGGCAAATGGCATTGACGTGGCCAATGCTAAAAGTACCAAGTCAATTTCTATCCAACCATTGCATAGTATAAGCAATATTATTAATAATGATTTTAACAGTAGCTCTACCAAGGTGTCACCCCAAAATAAAAACTACTCTACTAACAAAAAAACAAGTGGCAAATTCCGGTGAGAATACTAAGGATACTACTAACCAAAAAAAAAGTGGTTAGTACCGGTGTCAATACTCCGGACACCCAATTAGAACAAAGGGCTAATATTCACACGCTTCACAATACAAAAATCATGCAAATCGATAATACCTCCATAGAATTGCACTTTCTTTCTGCTAGTAACCAATCTTATCTCATAAATGGTTCCAATGTATACTCTCCAAACCAACACAATGCTAGGAACCAAATTTTATCTTTACCTCAGCACGGGGCTTTACAAAATACTTCCCAATCCTGCTCGCCAAAATTCAATCTTTCCACCTTAGACTCTAATAACCACAAATCTAATCTTCTTACCATGGAAATAGAATAATCAAGTAAGATAGATAAACTAATCTCTACAGACCAATCACTCCCAGATGCCTGCCAATCCAGTCTCACTGGACAATCTACTATCTCCCAGCACACAAGACATGATAAATCATATGATGGGAGGACAAGGGGAAGCTATACGACCCATAAGGAAATCTCGTAAAAAGATTTCAAGCCCAAGAGAAATAACAATATTGTTATTCAATGAGAAGCAAGACAAGAAGTATATTCTCAAATGCCAGTAGCACTATTCAAAAGCTTGATGGACATAAGGCTACCAATAAACTGAGCAGTGGAAAAATATACAGTAATACTAAGCTC